TATGGTAATCCATTTGAAATTTCTAAAAGGACAAATATTTAGGAACGAAGAGGGTATTATACATACGTATTGTGTCACGGAGCCAGGCTCAGCATCATCCAGTGGTGAAAGCATCATCCAGTGGTGAAACTTGACCGTGCAATCTCAAAGAGAACATGATCGCTCCGACGTTGGAGCTTTCGGATTTTCATCTGATGTGATAATTCAACGTACTTGCAGATTATTAGCAAGCTGCGTGCTCCCAAAGTTAAGCTAATTAGGACCGCTGGTTAGGCACGTACCTGGGCAGCGTTGGTTCCATTGCCGGCCAAAAGCAGCACCCACGCAACGGCGACGAGAACAAGTAATTTAGCCATCGTCGCCTTGGCTAATTTGCTTTGCGCTCAATAATGTACGTGGTGATGAGGAGAACATGCCACACATGCGCTTATATATATATAGAGAGAGGCCGGTTTCATCCAGATAAATTTGGAAATGTTGGCTAGTTGTCTGTACTAGTGTCTAGCGGGATGAGGTCAACTCGGCCAGGTTCCAAGTTCGACTCTGTCCGAGTAGTTCTTGTCACATCGCCCTTTAAGGAAGTGAAGAAATACTTTTTACGTCACGCGTTAAGAAAAAAAAGTTTGCTCCGTGTCTGATGGGCCGGCCCAGTCGAGTCCACAGCCAATAATCACGGGATTTAACATGCCACATCGACCATCCCTGTTTGGAAACTCACTTCAGGTCTAAAATAGACCGGGATCAAAGAGTTCGGTGTGCTGATTTTTGAAATTGGAAATTTGAGATTTGATTTAGTTTTCGTCTATAAATTCAGAGTTTATTTTAGACTTTTCTCTTTCCACGCTGTAAAAATTGTTTTAGCACGCTCCATGTTGCGTGTCCAAATATTTTCCCGTTCGCTCATCGCTGGCAGGCGACAACGAGGTTTCGGCGACCAAGCAAAAAAGAGCAACTTTAAAAGGCCGACCCATTTCGTCCGCCTGCATCTGTTTGAATTGGCGTGTACAAAAATGACGGCCCAACGCGCCAACCTAAACCTAAATCACGTCTGTGTCGCGTCCGCGCCGACGTATTTGCGGTTCAAATTTGCGCCCCAAATGCGTCGGCGCGGACGCTGAACGGACGCTTCGCGCGCCTTCTCGCTGTCCGTTGCGTCCTCACATGGCGGCCGTCCAACTACCAGCTGCCCACGCGGTCAGCTTAATTTATGACCACGGGTCCACATGTCAGCGACGGCACTCATTCTTTTTTAAGTCGGCCATGCGGCGGGGCCATCCACATCTGCCAAGTTTTGCTCCCTCGTCGCCGGCAAACCCTAGCCATCACAACCACAGCGAGATGGGCCTCTTCTCCGGCGCCAGCGGCAGCAAGGCCAAGGGCAAGGCCCCCGCCACCCCTTTTCCCTCAGAGTTCCTCCCGCCTCCACCGGCGCTGGCGCCTCGCCGGCAGAGGCGGCGCGTGAACGTGCCAGTGCACCAGGCGGAGTGGCACTGGCAGCACCGCCAGCCTCTGCCGTATCCCGACGTGACCCTGCCGCACGACTGGCATCTGGATCCAGATAGGATCCCAGTGCCGGCGGTGCCGCGGACGACTCGGGCTCACGCGAAGGAAGTGCGGCGCCGGCTGGTGCTGCTGACGCCGGAGCAGCGCCGCGAGGCCGCCTACGCATCCGACTCGCCCAACTGGGCGAGGTGGTTCGCCTTCGAGCACGAGGAGCGAGGCGACGGGACGTTCGCGAGGTCGATCGGAGCTCACCGCCGCCGGCGCTCGTCGTCCGCGAGGAGGACCAGGCGGCGGAGGACGCCTACCAGGCGGCCCTTGCGGCCGTCTACCGCGAGAGCGAGGAGGACGAGCGACGCAGGGCGGAGGCGGAAAAGGAGGCTCGGTATGAGGCGGCAATGGCGCAGGCATTTGCCCTCTCCGCGGTGGGGCGACAACGTGGTGCCGCCGGTGGCCCCGCCATCCCCTATCAAGCCTGAGCCCGAGCGGGAGCCGTCCCCCGTCGACCGCTACTCCTGGACGGGAGTAGTGCGCGAGTGGGTACGCGCGCCGCCGGTCTGGTTGGAAGCGACGCCGACGCAGGAGCCTGACATGACGGCGCTCTGGAACACGGCGTTCGCCTAGGCCGGACCGACGCCGACGCTCATCGACCTCACGAACCCCGAGGACGACGACGCCGCCGCCTAGGGCAGCACGCCGCCTTGTAGTTTAGGCTGTTTTTATTTTTTAAATAGAATTATGAACGCGTGGACTCTCCCCGACCTTCATGACCGGCTTTAATATTTAATTAATGTTGTTTCTCTTTTTTAATATGAATACGTTTATTTTTTTCTAGCACCGTCAAAATGGGTTCAGATCAGCATTGAACGCACGCGCCGACCCAAACGCGGAAGCGGACATCCGTATCCGCCTGACCGACCCAAACGAATAAAAAAGGACATAATCACCGTCCGTTTGGGTCGGCTGCTGGAAGGAAGCTCTTTTGCGCGGTATGTGGCGCACGTCACGCACGGCTGGTGAACGGCGGTGGTCAAGGGGGAGGAAGGAAGCCGTTGTTGCTGCCTCTGCGATTCACGTTCCCTCTCCGCGTGCGTGTGTCCGTCCATCTGGAGAACGTGGCCAGGCCACCAAACGGGGCGGGCGTATCGCGTACGTTGTTGTACGTACTCTACTTGGTATTTTGCCGGTGCCCGCGGAGTTCCTCTGGAATCTTTCTTTCTTGCCCCGGACGTAAGGGATGGATCCAGCCAGCCAGCTCCTTGTAGGATTCGCCGCCTGCGTCTCTCTCTCTCTCCGCTTCGCTGTTTGTCCAACCAGCGGTTGAGGGGCGCCCCGCCTATGCACGTTCTAGAAAGAGAGGAGCCAGACGAATATCAGAATATACTCCTCCATCTTCTTGGGACACAAGTCAGGAATCAGCTAGTACAACTCGTACTGTTCTTACCACGTCGGCAGTGCGTTGGTCTGCCGTTGATGACCGGCCTTTCTTTGACTGCCTTTCGCGTAAGTGGAATCACAATTTAAAAACTTGGGGAGAAATGAAAAATCCGAACAGAAAACTTTGGAAAAAATGACCACTCTGGAGGCGGCTGTACCACAGCGACAGCGCGGATGCGCCGACTGGTGGTGGCGGCCTGGCCTAGACGAACCATGCGCCGGCGTGTCGTCGTCGGGGTTCGGGCAAAAACGACAAATTTGACCTATGAATAAAAAGAATTCACAAAATGAACTGTTGACGAAAAAAATTCATCCGGCTGACCCTTTTGTGTAGCGCCCGACAGCTAGGCGCCACACTATACTGTGCAGCGCCTGATCGACAGGCGCTACACACCTGATCAGCGCCGCACTTCAAACTATCTAAAAATTGCTAAGTCAGAGTGCAACGCCGAAGAGCTAGGCGCTACACTTGCACAATCAAGGGTTTGTTTCACTTAGATTCTGTACCATGAAAAGAGGGGCCTGTCAGGGATTAGCTAGCTACCCCATGTTCAAAATATCTGAGTACTGTCTAAATCCATATAAAACTGGGCTGCACTATACATAGAGATTATGGTCGTGTCAACCGCAAGAAATCTGAATTAGCATAGCAGGTACAAGCACTGTCGTGTCTTGTCTCTCCTAGCCTGCGCTACTATGAAAGAAGCTCTCTTTGGTCTGTATAGAACGCTAAAAAAAATACGTCTTAATCTTTCTTGTTTCACTTTTTTTAGAATTAATCATTTTTTGTATTCTCTTCCAGCTGATTGTATGGTTTAGAGACGTGCGTACACATGCACGCACTAATTTTTTCTTTGCAAAAGAACACAGGGCCTTTAGATGAGCTGTGATTTAGCTAGCCAGTCAAAAAAGCAATCGATCCCATCCCACGATTGATTTTGAGATGGATTCATGGGTTCATATAGTAAAAATTCTGAACTGAAAGCGCTAGCTCCTGAAAGTGTGATGAACATGCAATGTCAGTGAGTCAGTCACCCAGGCGCAACGTGCTGGGTAGTCACCCAGGCGCAACGTGCTGGGTTAAACATTTGCCAAATCTTCCGAAATCCAAAGCGATCGATCGGCACCACCGCAACAAGATCGCATCAAGCTGCAAGTGCAGTATGTCACGAGCTGTACAGTAGGCAGGTGAATATTTGAAAGTGTGGGAAGGGCGTCTACTTGCGAGCCGACTTTAGTCCAAGAAGATACAACTACTATGACCGACTAACGCTGGCCCCAACGAGACACGAGATTCCATTCCAAAGTCCACTAGTGCAGCGCCTAAGCTATAGGCGCTACACTGTACAGTGTAGCGCCTAGCTGTTAGGCGTTGCACATTAACTTAGCAATTTTTAGGCAGTTCGAAATGCGATGCTGTCAGGCGTGTAACGCCTATTAGTCAGGCGCTGCACAGTGTAGTGTGACGCCTATCTGTCAGGCACTACATAAAAGGGTCAGCCGGATGAAATTTTTTCTTTAATAGTTTACTTTGTGAATTCTTTTTATTCATAGGTTAAATTTGTCGTTTTTGCCCGGGGTTCGCGACAGTGTGGCAGGGAGGATCGATCCCTCTCGCGCTAGCCGTCGGTCCGATGGAAAGGGAGGGAAGGAGGGAGAGAACGGGCGTTGGGCGAGGCCGCTTTAGCATGCCAACCACGTGTGTCTAGCCGTCGGTCCGATGGAAAGGGAGGGAAGGAGGGAGAGAACGGGCGTTGGGCGAGGCCGCTTTAGCATGCCAACCACGTGTGTCTAGCTCAGGTCCGGAATTGACGACCCATGTTCCTTCCGCCCGGGCCCACCCACCAGTCACACCAACCCCCCGCCGCACCGCCACCAACACGGCGCCAACCACGGGAGGAAAAAGTGCAGACGCGTACTGGCAGAATATAAGCAGTTCACGGGCGAGGCGGACGAGGTGGCCATTTCTTTTCTTCTACAGCTGCTGCTAGTAGTACGTTCCAGGATCGCCGGAGCCCCGGAGGAAGAGCAAAGCGTAGCGGAGGAGGGAGAGGAAGAGAGAGATGAGGTGGACGGCGTTCGCGTGGGAGAGCGCGTCCCGGGCCTTCAACAACCGCCCCACCTTCACCGGCCTCGTCGTCGTCCTCGCCGCAAGGTCCCTCCTGCTTCCTTTCCCTTCCTCCGCCCGCTAATTTCCCCCCTCCCCCTTGGCGCTGGGGCTTGGGGATTTCGACCGGATCTGCTGCCACCGCATACCTCGTGTGGCCGCTAGACTGCAGCAGCATTTTCGCGGTCGACGCAAATGTTGGGCACGAATATTTGGAGCGTCCTGTCATTTTTCTCGGGTTTTCTTTTCTTTGTTCAGAAAAAAAATGATAATATTCGGTGCCTTCATCGTTTCGTTCGTGGATCCTGGCCGGGATAGAAATATTCGGTGGTTGCTGCGGTTTCTCATCCTCTGAGCCACCGAAACTGTTGTATCAGTTCGAGATCGCCTCGGGTATTAACGGGATTCAGAGCTCACATAATAGCTCTACCTAGATCGATTCTCCATCAGAGGGTACCTCTGTTTTACCAGATTTCAGAATGCTAGAAAATGAGGGGGGAAATATAAGGATAGAGTCATTTCTTTTATATAACTGATGAAATGGGAAGAAAATAGTTAGTTAAACTAATTCTTCTTTCCACCTGTTTCGACCGGGCCCTCGTTTTCCAGCTACTTCTCGAATCTGATGTGTCCCCTACATCGCTGTGGACCTCGTATGCCTGCTGTATATTCTGCCATGGTCCATGTGGCCAACAAGAAGAAAAATTGCCCTTGATTTCTTCGTCCCGGTTTCAGTATTTTTCTAATACCAATTGTGCCTTTTCTCTATAAAACAATACTTGGAATATTTAAGAGCGGGGTCGTGAATACATTATAATTTGGTGAGTTGGTGCCATGTGCTGATTGCCATTTTATATGTGCTTTTGGACTGCTAGGCAAATGCTGGACTTCTGAATAATACATTTCTTCAATTCCTTGATTTTCTTGGTTAATGATTCGGCTGCAACATGCTTTTTATTTGTTTCTCTGCAATGTCTAAATAAATTTTATATGTATGTCATATGACTGTTTTGCGTGTATGAAAAGAGAGGCCTTGTCTAAGTAGTCTTGCGCTGTGATTGATACAATGCGATCACAAAATAAATATTTTTGTGCAAAGCTGCAAGACATGGACTGCTCCTGCTACCAGGTATACATAAGTGTAGCTGTTAAAAATGACATTGGTTCCTTCACAGAAGAAGACGACAATGGTAGATGATTGGGCTATAGGATTAATTTTCTGAGCATATATAATTGTCCTTGTCTATGCAGAGACTAGGCACACTCCCTCTTTTCTGGAAGAAACCATATTGTCCTTGTCTTGATCTATTTTAACGTTTTCATTATTTGGAGTGATGTAATTCAGTCGCAACTTAAAGAATATTTTTCAGTAAGCGGTAGCTTCGATGTAAAACACACCAATGAGGTTCATTTAAGAGTTAGTGTTATGAGTTCCTAAATGATTTGTATTACTAGAACAGCTATCTTACTATTTTTTTATATTAAGGGTGGCTTCAATGTAGAACACACAAATGAGATCATTTAAGATGCCTGAATAATTCCAAGAACTTCTAAATGTTTTGCATTGCTAGAACAGCTGTCCTATTTGCAAACCTGCTGATTTATGGTCTGCCGAATTTGCAGTAGTGGAGGAGGCCTCGTCGCATATGCAGACTCTCAGCCAGACCAGCCCCAAGGATTTAAAAAGAAGAAAATAGTGGTTCTTGGAACTGGCTGGGCTGGCACCACATTCCTGAGGAATCTTGATAGCAAACTGTACGATGTCCAGGTCATTTCACCTCGGAACTACTTTGCATTCACACCCTTGCTCCCAAGTGTTACCTGTGGAACAGTTGAACCAAGGAGCGTTGTTGAGCCAATCCGTAGGATTCTGGAGAAGGTATGATTTCTTCCATAAATTTCGGTGAACTTGTTGAACAATTCTAGAACTTTTATTCTTTCACAACCTGCTGAATGCCATGTACTCCAAATACTGGAATGGCTTGTTTTCACGATGGTACAACAAAATTCCTGACCTTGCTCATCTTGCTCAAGACCTATCTTGAATCCCAATAGTGAAGTTCGTTATCTAGTGAATAGTCATATTTCATACTTGAACACTACATTCGTTCATAGCTAAGTCAGATGATTAATTATGTGCCAAATGAATTAACCTTCGTTCTTAATACTGACAGAAAGGTGGAGACTTCAAATTCTGGGAAGCAGAGTGCTTCAAGATTGATCCAGCAAACAAGAAGATTCATTGCCGCTCAAATATGGGGACAAATCTTGATGGAAATGGCGAGTTCTTAGTTGACTATGACTATCTGGTGGTAGCTGTTGGAGCTAGGTCTAACACATTCAATACTCCCGGTGTGACAGAGAATTGCCACTTTTTGAAGGTAAGCTTTCGTATGGTTTGTATGAAATAAATTTGCCTCCAGTTTTAGGTCCATAACTACATTAATCTGCTTTATTTATATACACGTCTGACAAAGGAATGAATCTGGTTCAAACCATTCAGTTATGTTGTGCAAGATAAATAGTTATGTTAGTCTTTTAAATGATCTTACTGCATTTTAGTTGTTTCTAAGCTTCTGCCCTTATTGCTCCGTTCATATGGTCCTATTATATTCACAGGAAGTGGAAGATGCCCAAAAGATCCGAAGGAGTGTGATGGACTGCTTTGAGAAGGCAAGCCTCCCATACCTTAATGAAGAAGAGAGGAAGAAGAATCTTCACTTTGTTGTTGTGGGAGGTGGACCTACAGGCGTTGAATTTGCGGCAGAGTTGCATGATTTTGTTACTGAAGATCTATCCAAGCTCTATCCTTCTATTCAGCATCTTGTCAAGATATCACTGATCGAAGCTGCAGATCACATACTGACTATGTAAGGCCATACCGGTCCTCTCTTACTTTTGATGCTTTATGAACTGAAAGTTCCTACTGCTTTACACTAGGTTGCCACCTTTTTGCTCATGTAATCTACTCCCCAACAGTATGGAAACACATCATCACCTCATATATGACGTAACATTACTTCCTAGGCTAACAAAATAACAATTGTTTCTTCATTGAAAAAGGTTCGACAAAAGAATTACCAACTTTGCTGAGGACAAATTTGGAAGGGATGGCATTGATGTAAAAACTGGATATAAAGTTGTGAAGGTTTCTAAGGATGCAATTACCATGCAAAATCCAGCTACTGGCGATATTGCAGTTCCTTACGGAATGGCTGTCTGGTCCACTGGTATTGGGACCCGCCCATTCGTTGTGGACTTCATGAAACAAATTGGCCAGGTATATAGACCTTTTTCTTTTGGAGTTGGCTATGTATCCTTCTGTCAGTTCAGCTAGCCAATGAATCATTTCTCTACATATACAGGCTAATCGTCGTGTCCTCGCTACTGATGAATGGCTAAGGGTGCGTGAATGTGATGATGTTTATGCAGTAGGTGACTGTGCTACCATAAACCAGAGGAGAGTAATGGTAAGCAATATAATTTGTTATGTGTTCCTTTTGGTGTAGTGATTCTCCCCTATTTTCCATGTGGATAGAAAAAGGGTTTTCTTCTCAAACCCCTATGTGCCATTTAACTAGTACTTCCTTTGTAAACTAATATAAGAGCGCTTAGATCGCTAAATTAGTAATCTAAATGCTCTTATATTAGTTTACGGAGGGAGTAGTAAAATTCTTGAGATTATCTTCATTGTATATGTAGTAGATGAGGATTCACATAAATGCTACAAACATATTTGATAGGTATTGTTGAATACTTTCGCTAGGATACTTGAACTGCTATATTAGCGGTTTAGACTTACCCAGTACTACCGTATCCATATCCTTTTTTGGTGCATTATAGCTACATGTCAATACATCATAGTGACTTTGTTGATCATTTGCGAATTGTATTTGGTACCATTCAGGAATTTATGTTCTTGGTGTCTAATGCTTGCAGGAGGACATCTCAGAAATATTCAGAGTTGCAGACAAAGATAAATCTGGAACCTTGACTGTGAAAGAAATCCAAGACATCCTGGAGGATATCTACGTGAGATATCCGCAAGTAAAGCTATACATGAAGAGCAAGCAACTGAACGGAATTGCAGATTTAATAAGAACTGGCAAAGGTGACACCGAAAAGGAATCTGTAGAGCTGAGCATTGAAGAGTTTAAGAAGGCTCTTTCACTCGTGGATTCACAAGTCAAGAATCTACCTGCAACAGCTCAGGTTTCCCTTTTTTTCTCCATTGGAATTTTACAATGCACAAAGTTTCAAAGCAACCACTTCAGTTAAAATTCATCGCTTTTTTACTTATAAATATTTTGTTCTGTCAGGTTGCTGCACAGCAAGGACAGTATCTTGCGACGTGCTTTAACAAGATGCAGGCTGCTGAAGAAAATCCTGAAGGACCAATCCGCATTAGGGGAGAAGGCCGTCATCGTTTCAACCCCTTCAGGTGCTTATTTTGCATCATTCGTCAACTCATTTCTTTTCCTAACCATTTCTGTATCTTCATTCTGACGAGAATGCACTGTAGTTATTCATGCGAAGTAACTGCTAGAAATGGTTATGTTGAATCTGGAAAGCAGTTAAAAAGAAAATTGAAGATCGAAATATGTCGATAACAGAATAATTAAGGCTGCATGCATGTGCAACTGCTCATACCTGATTGCCTTATTTTCTTTCTTGTCTATTGGCTGATACTATTGCTTTGCTGATTCCTCCAGGTACAGGCATTTAGGCCAGTTTGCCCCACTAGGAGGGGAGCAAACCGCTGCACAGCTCCCTGGTGACTGGGTCTCCATCGGTCACAGCTCACAGTGGCTCTGGTATTCCGTCTACGCAACGTAAGTGCTTGTTTCCTTTTTGATGATGAGAAAGTCAGACTGCGCAATCACCTACGTTTGTATCTAACCTAACACTTGGTTTTTCCCTCCTCTTTGCTATGAGTTCAGCAAACAAATAAGCTGGCGCACGAGGGCACTGGTGATATCTGACTGGGGCCGTCGCTTCATCTTCGGTAGAGACTCGAGCGGCATATAGTCAAAGGAGATATGATTTTGTTTGCGGTATATACATAGGCTAAGGCCAGTAGTGGTACCTTCCACCCAAGTCTGTTCTTGCAGATGCATATAATCTTTTTTGTCGGGGAAAGAATAAAAGTAACCCTGCACTTCCCTAGTGCTCCACGGAGAAAATTCCTTTGTACCTTTTTACTCTCGAGTTATACTTCTGCGGCACGTTCAAACTCGCAGATTAATTTTGTAGTCCTTCCACCACAAAGATAAGCAAAGGGCCAGTTTGGACCTGTTTTTGTTCTGAAAAATCCTGTTTGTGCGGAGGCCTGATTTTGTCATGCGAAATGCTGTTGATGTGGACACCAGATTTTGTGCTGTGAAACACTGTTTGCGTGAATTATGTTTGCTGCTAGCAAAACTTCTACTGGCTCTGCATGTTTCGGGCGTCGACCTGCCCTTTTCCAAGTTCTGGTTAAGTGGGTGGTTTGTTGACTGGAGTAGTAGAAAGATGTAGAAAAGTTAAGAGTGTTGTTTTGCAGTTGACGAATCCGGAGTGTTCCAGTCTATAAAGGTTTACGCTCTTGAGTTGTTCCAGTTCAAATATCCCCTTCGAAAACCCTGCTATCTGCCAAGGAGGTTTGGGTGGTTCTCATTATTTATTCACTGTTTAGTTGGTATATGGAACACAACCAACCGTTGGTGGATAAACAATTCCCCCGAATAAAGGGCAAACTGAATAGACGCAGTCCATAAGTTAAGGACCGCAATATCTGGTGAATGTTCACTGGGAAGGGTTGGTATTTGCAAACGTTTTAGATGACGAGTTTAGTTGTATGGGGTTGGCAGTCAGAAACATTGGGTTGGCAGCCAGAAACGTATGACAATTTTTGGGAATGTTCACCGGAAAGGTTAGTATTTGTAAACGTTTTAGATGATAAGTTTAGTTGTATGGGGTTGGCAATCACAAACATATTGCAGTTTTTGAGAAGAGAAATTTTACAACAAAAAACGGCAGGATTTGCCATCTCGTATCATACCAGGTAAAGTTGCCAAAAAAAAAGTAGCTTGTCATCCCCCTCCTAGCTGACGTTTGTCAGTTATCATTAACATAAATTAATAATAACAAAATTCGATCAATTCCCTCAAGCAGAATGCAAGCTTCACAGTTTTGCTGAAGATGCAAAGGACCTCAAGCGAAGGAAAAAATTGCTGCAATGTTGAATTGATGCAGTCCATAGTTGCCAGAATTTCGGGCACAGTAAATATTAGTTTAACATGCTAAATAGATCAGGTGAGAGGTACAACCGCTGAATTTCAGCTTCACACCTCAAATGAAAAGTCAAAGCTCCTTTTGCACCTATGTTGTCTCTGTCTTATTGTTTGATTTCTCCATTGAATAATCCATTTTGACAGCAACTCAAGACTAAAGAATGGAAAAGGTAAACACTTGCTAGCTGAAAATTCCTAGAATTCAAGGAAAGAACGTTCCAATTGAACCATGCTTGGGAGAAAAGTATGATCTTGAGACAGTCCAAAAGACCACCACCCTCCACATATAATAAAGGTCACGCCAAATGGAAATACGCACATTCCCTAGAATATTACACCGTTGCCTCTCTGAAAATGACACCGCCCGGAAATGTATATGTGAGTACAAGTGGCAGAAGCTTCTCACAAGTTGCACCCATTCAGCTTTAGAAGTCAAGGGTCTATCTGGCCATGAAGTGGAAATAGACTTAAAAAAAACGCCCTTCATGAATTCCAAGAAAGCAACAGGTTGTTCTGAGCCACAAAGGGCTGAATAATGCTCCATCATTATCAGCCTCCCTGGTTGGCCGGTTAGGTTGTGTATTTGTACCTAATTCTTCCAGCTCAACAGTTATATTAGTAGTACAGATCATATCAGCAAAGGAACAAGAACAATTATATCAGTACAGGTCAGGTGGACAAATAAAAAGAGAAGAACCAGATGCTGAGCCCACAACGTTTCATGTCCTGGAAGACCTGTCAGTTAGACAACTCGAAAGTGCTCAATAGTACGACATGAAAGATATCATTATTAGCAAGGCCACTGTATCTACTATTTTGTTGGGGAAAACATATACTATTAGAGAAAGATTCCCCGGATGATTGGCACTGAGCTGACAAAAAGTATGGCCACAATGTTAGCTGCCTAAACATGTTGATCCAGGAAATAGTGTAACATGAGCAGAGAACTTCCATTAAACACCTTGAAGAGTGATTTTTCTGATAAAATTACATTTGGTATTGATTGGAACCAGCACTGACTGAAACAGCGGTGGGAAATGTAACACAATCACACATCTAAATCTAGAACACCACGTACAAGATTTATCCCAGAGGATATTATTATCAAGCACTGACTGGCTATCTACATATAGGGCCGAGGAAGAAGCTAAATCTTAATTACACAAAGCCTCATCTTAGTTCGCGAGAGCTAAAACCATGGACAGGAACCGGTGTTTTGCAGAGTTTTTGGCACCGTGTTTATACCGAATCAACCTCTTCAACCTGCTGACGAGCAAGATATCTCTCTCTTCGTTCCTTCTGAAATAGGAAAAATGGAGAATGTGATCACATGGTGCACAGACGCATCTCGGCTCTCGGGCATTAGTAAAAGACTGGACTATTGTCATTAAAAACACTCGAGCACTGATCTTACCCATTCATCGATCACAAGCCCTTCACCAACGATAGGGGGACTGGTGTCTTCTGGAGGCTTCTTGCGTGCCTCAAGAGCTGCTTCAGCTTCAGCGAGCTGACGCTTGAGTCTGTCCAGTTGCTTCAAGGAAGAAATTGCCACAAATGTGTAAGGTGAATTTGCTGCTCCCCAGAATTGTGTTGTACTCAGAGCGAAAGCAAGAGAAAAGATGGGGCTCTGATGTCACTTACTGCGCTAGGACGCTCAGCATCCAAGAAAATAACCCGCAGAATTTGTTCAACTGCAACCTGATCTTTCTGCTCATCGAACTGTGACATACGAGTATATAGGTAAAACTTAGAGAGAGAAAAAAAATGAAACTACAACAATAAGACTTTAGGCGATTGGACGGTCTCAAGGGGCAAAAGAACATACCAATTCTGGAACATACTCCACAGGCCCTTTAACTTTCAGGCTAACAATCTTGAACTTGACCTTGCACTTCTGATCTAAAGGCTTCTCGTTGTTCTCAGGATGCTCCACAAACTTGAACACTGGAATTGAATGGTTGAACAATGAAAAAAGAGGGGAATAAAAACAAAGAAATGCACATCAAAGGTTGAAATCTGCTTTGCATTACCTGTAGCTATGATGGTTTCTCCTGGAGCAAGTATGCCGCCGGGAGGCCTCATGAAGCAGCTCTTTGGTGCTGTTGTTTGGAACTAAAAAACAGATAGGACATGCGTTCCATTAGTACCACACCTTATTATTGTTACATCAAACCAACCTAGTAACAAGGAAAATTTGTAAAACCACTAGCATTCAAGGTCAAGTAATGGGATTTAATTCATTGAAGGACTTAATTAATTTATTCCCTAATTTAATGAAGATAGCAGGGGAGGGAGAGAAGTGTTGTTACCTTGAACGCCACATGGGACTTGCTGATGTTCTTGATCTTCACCGCGCTCCGGACTTGCTTGCCAGGCTCATCTGCGCGATTAAAAGGTATAAGGTACTTAATTCATGCAAATTTGAGCCTTTATTTTTCAAACATGGCCATCTATTAATCGATTATTAAGCTGCCAAATTTCTTTGCCAAATCAGAAATTTCACATAATGAAGCAGGGCAACTCCAAAGATTTACGAGCCAAGAACAATCAAATAAAGAACCCAATTCAATACAATCCAATCCAAACTTAGCAGGAGAGATGGTTCAAAGCGAGAAGTCTTGGGCGGACTAACAGCTCGGCAGGAAAGTAGAAGCCGCCGTCAAGAAGCAGAGGAGGGAGAAGAAGAGTAAGAAGGTTTGATGGCGCATACGTACATGGGAAGTAGAGCTTTGATGGCGGGTCAAGCCGCAGCCGCCGCCTGGTAGGCAGCAGCGACCGTATCGCCGCGGCACCAGACGACCCGCCCGACCCCTCCGCGCCTCCTCCCTCCGCCAGAGGCGGCGGTGGGCCGGACGCGGTCCCCCACAGAGGCATGTGTCACAGCTCCCGCCGCGTCGTCGCCCCCCTCTTGCTGCTGGTCGTGCCCCTCCGCCGCGGCGCGGAGCCCCCTGCAGCACCAGCACCAGCAGAGGATCGTCGCTCGTCGTCGGAAGCCGTCGAGCGTGTGATGGTGCGGTGCGCCTTGGTTGGAGTGGTTGGGCGGCTAGTGGAGGTCGAGGAAGAAGAATATTATTGGGGCGGGGTGGACGAGAGGAGAACTGCAGTCAAGTGCGTTCTGAGAGGGGTGTTCTTATGGTGGATAGACGGCGGTGGGGTCACCTGGGCAGGTTCTGCTACTAGTGCACTTTAACCCTCCTTCCAGTCAGAGGGCGTTCGTGAAGATGATGATGATTGTCAATGGTGACTGGAGATGATTGTAATAAGCATTAGCGATTTTTAAGTGGGTGCCATAGTAGTTAAAAGAGAAAAATGCAACCCCAGTCACTTAGACTAGTCACAATGGGAGTAACTTAACTAGTAACATCACACATTTCAATACAAGATTGCTTATGTGGCAGCTAATTAATAAGGAGAGAGGTTTGTGGTAACTTAGGTAGTTACTGTAACATCACACATTTCAAGGCATAATGAGTCTATAGCCTAATAAATAAAATCTTTCATGATACCACTCATATGTTACTATCCACTATGGAGGTAGTAACACAGACTAGTAACATCGGCAAGTTACTACTCTATATTACTCCCCACCGTGAGCAGTCTTAACTTGTGTCGTGTGCCCACTTTTAGTCACCGCACCCAAGAATACATCCATTACGGCCACTAAATACGACAAGACGTGGTTATACTGTCATTGTTGAGCGTGTTGAGCTTCTACGCGCCATTATTGACCACGTGTTGACCAGTCACCGCGCCAGCTGGCAAGAAGCCGTCGTCTGCGTGTCGTTTTTTGCAAAAAACCCTGGCGTCGTTGAAAATGGATCAAATCCCCTTGCATGTCCGTCTTCGGTCACATCGAAGCAGGGAGCGGCACATGGGAGAAGAAGGCGAACGTCGCTGCCACCGGCTCATTGCCGAGGGAGAGGCGTCAACGGGGTCGAGATGCATGGTTCGTCAACCCCTGTTCGTCCGGGGGTGCATAGGCGTGGAGGCAATGGCCCCTGCTCGTCGCCCTGACAGTGCGCCGCCCCAAACTACAGTAAGCCCCAATCTTTTTCGTCAAGCCTTGGATTCTTGGGTTGTTAATCTGCAATATTTCGTTTCGGCATCGAATATCTTGGGTTAGTTTGATAGGGTTGCCCCATTTGAGTAGAGATTTCGCTAGGGTTTTCCGCATGATTTGGGGGTTTCAGAGTAGGTTTTTAGCTATACAAAGGAGGTACCTTGTAGTTGATTCTGATGCATTCGTACATGTTTTAGTCGACAATATTTTGTTTGGGGTCATCCATTTTGGGGTAGTTAGATAGGGTTGACCGCATTGGAGTGTTGATTTCGCTAGGGTTTTGTACGTGATTTGGGAGTTTCGGAGTAGGGTGTTAGCTTTGTAAAGGAAGTGCATTTTAGTTGATTCCAATGCATATGGACATGTTTTATTCTTAGAAGGTGCATGGAGAAAAAATTATTCAGTTCAACCATGGTGGATTGATAACCCACAAGTATAGGGGATCGTTTGTAGCCTTCTTCGATAAATAAGAATGTCAAACCTAACGAGGAGCTAAAGGTAGAACAAATATTCCCTCAATCTCTATCGACCACTGATACAACTCTACGCACACTTGACGTTTGCTTTACCTAAAACAAGTATGAAACTATTTTGCAAGAATAAAAATACGAGTACCTTGCGAGAATAAAATTATGAATAAATTGCAAGGTAACAAAAGTAGATAGCTTTTGTCAACAAGAAAGTCATTTGTCCCTAGGCAATCGATAACAAGTACCGGTAATCATTCTTGTAATTTTACATGAGGGAGAGGCATGAGCTAACATACTTTCTCTACTTGGATCATATGAACTTATGATTGGACCCCTAGCAAGCATCCGCAACTACTAAAAATCATTAAGGTCATGAAACCCAACCATAGCATTAAGTATCAAGTCCCCTTTACTCCCATACGCCATAACCCACTTATCCACGTCTAGGCTATTGTCACTCCGCAACACTGACAACAAGCAAACCATGAACATATTGCAACACCCTATAGCGGGGACCCCTCACGTTTGCGTGACACGAAGGGCACCGTAGGACATCGCCATAAATAAAATATACAATCATACCAACCAAGATCACGATTAACCCACAAGACAAAACTGATCTACTCAAACATCATAGGATAACCATAGATCATTGGTAAATAATATATGGAGTTGAGCACCATGTTTAAGTAGAGATTACAGCAGGGAGAAGGGGTGTTACACCGCTGCATAGAGGGGGAGAAAGTTGGTGTTGATGGTAGCAATATTGTTGATGTAGATTGTCGTCACGATCCTTGCCCCAGCGACACTCTAGCGCCACCGGGAGAGAGTGGGAGAGAGCCCTCCTTCTTCTTCTTCCTTGGCCTCCCCCCTAGATGGGAGGAGAGTTCCCCCTCTGGTCCACGGCCTCCATGGCGACGGAGGGGCGGGAGCCCCTCCGAGATTGGATCTCCCTCTCTGTTCTCTTCTGTTTCGGGTTCCCTGGATCTGGCCGAAAATCGTTTCTTATATTCCAGGAGATCTGTCACTCCGATTGCGCTGAGATTTTAACATGATTTTTTTCGGATATAAGCTTCCTTGCGCCCGAAGTAGAGCTCCAACTGATATACAAGGTGAGCACAACCCACCACCGCGCGCCTGGCCCCTGGGGCGCGCCCTGGTGTCTCTTGGTCATCATGGGCCTCCGTTTGCGTTGATTTCAAGCCCCAAAAATCACATATATTCCAAAATAATTCTCCGGAAATTTTTATCGCGTTTGGACTTCGTTTGATATGGATTTTCCGTGAAACAAAAAACATGCAAAAAATAGGAACTGACATCGGGCCCTGGATCAATAGATTAGTCCAATAAATCATATAAAATGATGCCAAAAATATGTAAAAGTTGTATAATATTGGCATGAAACAATAAAAAATTATAGATACGACGGATACATATCATGGATATTTCCTTGGACGTGGTAGCAACCGTTTGTTATGTCAATCCTCATGTTGTGTGGTATGATGAACTAGATGATGTGACATTGTCTCTAATTATGGTTGAACACTTAGTTGAGGAGATTGGGTGGGAGATGGCAGGCAGATTAAAGGTATATTATTTGATTCCTATTTTGTTAATCAAGCAGAACGGTTTGAGAGAAATCAGAGGTGATGAAGACACTAATTAGATACTGACATTTCTGTCTCTTGGTCACAACTCATTCAGTCTTTTATATGGACCATTATGATAGCTTGGATGCTAACCTTATGAAGAATGATGTGGTGAATTTCCCAATAACCCACCTGCCTCCAGTGTTCAGTCCTACAAAGACTAGGAACAATGAGCCAGAAAGTAGTGAAGCAGCACATGTACAACCAGAGAATGCTAGATATGAAAATGAAGATGCAGATCATGTAGATGAACGTGTAAATGAAGATGCAGTGCATGCATATCATCCTATTCCTATATAGGTGATTTACCTAGAGATTCCAACGGGTGATGTTAGTAATTATGTGCTTGCAAAGAGGAACTGCTTTATTGGCAATCATGAAGATGCAAATATGGTAGAGCCAGAGACCATTGTCATACAACCATCACAACCAGAGAAAATTCACAAGAATGTTAGTAAGCAAGAAGCAGTGAGCAACAGAACAAGAAGACATCAATTCTTCATATGAAATGGGAGCAGAAGATGCAACTGTTGACAGTGATTCAGATGATTCGGACTTTGATCCTGGTGCCACGATAGACAGTGACTATGACATTGGTGATGGTGATGATGATCTATATGCAGACAATGTGGATATGGATGAACATGAGGACGGAAAGGATAAAGGGAAGCAGGGAGTTCAAGCTACTAAAAAGGGAAAGGGTACACACAAAGGAAAGGGAAAAAGCTGGAGATGAAGGAAAATATGAGCAATAGTATGAACTATATGAGTATGAAGGTGACGATTTGTTGCCAGCAAATTCAGATGATGAAGAAGTGTACATGAAGTTCAAGGCTTTTAGGGTAGAGGACCTACATTGTCCTAAGTTCCATGTTGGCCAAGTTTTCCAAGTAGTTGAATTGCTGAGGAAAGCCATCAAAGAATACTATTGCAAGAATAGAGTTGATGTCAAGTTGCTATGAATGATAGGAAAATATTAAAGGCCAAATGTGATGATGATTGTACTTGGTACATGCGGGCCTCATATGATTGCAGAACCAAGTGCTCCATGATCAAGGAGCATGTCAATGAACACACATGCGCAAAGAAGTGAAAGATCAAGGATTTCACTGCTCCATTCATTGCATAGAAGTACCTGAAGAGCTTTAGAGCTACTCAGGATATGAACTTGAGAAACTTCTCAAGGGTTGTGCAAAAGGAGTGGCATATGACAGCAACAAGGACCAAGTTACAGAGGGCTGGGAGGCTAGCTATGAAGATCATCCATGGTGATGAGGAAGGGCAATACAAAATGATTTGGGACTATGGCAATGAGCTAAGAAGTAGTAGCCGAGGTTGCTCCTTGTTTGTAGCACTTGATGAAGAAGCAAGGTTTAACAAATCCTACATCTTCTTAGACGCTTGCAAAAGAGGGTTCCTTTAGGATGCATGCCTGTAATCTTTATTGATGGTTGTCATATTAATAAAAGGTATAGAGGACAGTTGCTGAGTGATGTGAGTATAGATCCAAATGGTTGTATTTTCCCAATTGCAATAGTTGTTGTTGAAGTGGAGGACAAGCCCAATTGTGTTGGTTCCTTGGGGGACTAAAACATTATCTGGGCATTATCAACACTGCACCAAGGTCAATTATATCTAACAAACAAAAGGCATAAACTAAAAATTGTGGAATTCAATTCAGGACTGTTGTAATAG